GGTGCAGCCTTTAATCCCAGCACTCAGGAGACAGAAGCAGGCGGATTTCTATGAGTTCGAGGCTAGCCTGGTCTACAAAGTGAGTTCCAGGACAGCCAGGGCTGTTACACAGAGAAACCCTGTCTTGAAAAACAAAAAACAAACCAAACCAAACAAACAAAAAGGAAACCATTACTAATAATACCAATGGTATTTAACACAATTTTTTAAATTGCTGGTTTAGTCAGTTATTTAATTTTACCATCCACTAATGGATTGTGACTTTTCATCTATAAAATACTGTGAATAAACTATCATAGCTTAATTCTCAAAGATTCACATTAGGCAAATTCAAGGAGAGTACAGTGTATTTTAATAACACATGTATCACACTAAGCATATTTAAATTATATTTAAATGGCATTCTGTTGGCAATTATTCTCAGATGTGTTTCAAAAAGTTATAATTTCACAAAAATTACAATCTATTTTGAGAGAATTCTTCAAGAAGGACACTGACATTGCTTGTATGGAACATAATATAATATATAAGATACAAAAATACAGTCTTATGACAATATCAAAAAAAAGTGTGAGAGGCATTCCCTGGTTCTTCATGTATAGTCTCAGAGCAGGCATCATCAGGGTTTTTTTCAATTCTTTATGGGAGCTGCTCTTCAAAACTATTTTCTTTTAAATATTTATCTTTATTTTATGTGCATTGGTGTTTTGCCTGCATATATGTCTATAAGGCTTTTGGAGTCCCTGGAACTGGAGTTACAGACAGCTGTGAGCTGCCATGCGGGTGCTGGGAATTGAAACCTGGTCATCTGGAAGAGCAGTCAGTGCTCTTAACCACCGAGCCATTTCTCCAGCCCTGACAAAACTGTTTTTGAGGAGGAATTACAAGTATTTCCTATGTGGTTTATCCACCTAAAAGTGGATTTCCTGTGTGAAGTGTGTTATATGATGTGATAGTCACTTGAACAGGAGGAAAAATCAGAAGAAGCTACTCTGGGTTTTAATTCAGTATACAATAGGTACTCAAGTGTATGGGAATATGTTTCTTCAGTAACTACAAAGCATCTCATATCTTCACTTTTTTTTCAGAGGAAAATAGGATCTTTGGAGAATTTGGAAGTTATTAAGTAGAAAAGTAATTAAGTAAAATCATTAAGTTAAAAAAACCTAAGTTTCTGGCAAATGAGGTATATAGCCTGAAGCTCAGGCACTTTCTGTTGTCTCACATTGATTTACATTTACAAAGTTCTTGGATCATTCTGTAGCTTTATTTGTTTCTCTGTCCTTTCTCCATCTTTACCCTTTTCAGTCTCTATTTATTGTTTTGTGGTGTTGGGCAATGAACCCAGGGTCCTGTTCAAGGCAGACAAACTCCTTACTAGCTTGCTCTGCTCCCTCTCACTGTTCTTATTTATGTATTTTTAGACAGAGTCTTTCTGAGTTACTCAGGTTGGCCTTGAACTCACTCTGACACCCTGGTAGGACTGAACTCACAATCTTCCTGTTACTGCTTCCAGAAAGAATTATGTTCTATTATGTGTTCAGCTCTAGTCTAAATATAATGAATGAGTCCCAGAGAATTAACTTTGTAACAGCAAAGTTTATATTGTTTAGTTCTTGGGCTCAAATTTAGTATCTTTAGAGTGTAAACCCATAAGACTTAGGACAACAGTGTCTGGCACAAAGAAAAATATTGCTAGTGCTATGTTTAGAACTACAAAGAATGGACCCATTTATAGCTGGTCATGGATGGAAGAAAGATTTATGTGGCTTTACCTGTCACTGTGGAACTACTATGGCTAGATTCAGAAAAAGTGATAAACATTACTTTCAATGTGTATCCCCTGGTAACCCCTGTATGTTACAAAGGATAGTTCTAATCCAATGAATCTGAGAGATGAACAGATAGAGAGGAGGAAGAGTTGAACACTGTTGAGAGAATGTAAGAATGGTGAGAGGAGAGAGTAACAGGAATGACTTATATACATACACATGTGAAATTATAAGAGAAATAATAAAAGTTGAAAAAAATGTAGTCTGCACCAATGTGCTCTCTATTTGAAAACACAAAACTTCAATACTTACTTGTTAGCCCCATCATCTTTAAGAACAGATATTTGAATATCACATGAGGTTTCTTTGTCCCAACTTTCCCAGGGACTAATTTGAAGCCTCTGTTCTTTCTAGCTATGACCCAAATGGTAGTGTCTCCTGGAGGTAAGTGACTAAGGAATGCATTGAGGGTATATGTTGAAGAGACATTAACCATGTATGCTCATGGATTACATGTGGAACAAGAGAGTAAGAGACCCAAAGCTGAATTATTCTGGTATTAAATTCTTGCTTGCTGAATGATTTATCACATTTTCAGTAGATATTTACCATGGATTTTGTAAACTAAGGAAGCTATTTTATAATGAGATTATGCAGTCAAATAAGGTAAGTGGTCAAACCTGAGCTTCAACAGGTTATGCTGTAGCACAAGATGGTATTTTAAAATTCCCGTTTATTATTCCTTCTGAAACACCATCCTTGTTAATATTTAATATTTGTGAAATTTTCATTTTTGCCTAAGCAAGTTTGAATTAAAGTTAGACAATTATCTACATAAGCTGCTTAAGTAATATGGTTCAAATATTTTTTCTTTCTCATTTTCTCTCTTAAAATAACATGCATATATCTTTGCTTTTATTAATAACATCATATATATTTAGAATGATATAATGGTTGTTCATAGTGTGTTAACTATACATTAAGCAGTATTCTGAGCAATTTCAACCTATAACTCACTACACTGTTTTCTTCCCTATTTTATAATGTGTTTACTTGTGGGGGTTACTGAGAATTGAACCCAGGGCCTCATGTACTCTGGGAAAGGCATACTTCAGCAATGTGTCCATGTCTTTTCTTAATTTTGACAGGTAAAATACAATATCAAAATGTTATATGTGACCAACAGCAGTAGAATGAGTACGTTTATACTTTTGGGACTAACTGACAACCCGAAGCTGGAAGTCCCCCTGTTCATAACATTCACTTTCATCTATCTCATCACACTGATTGGGAATTTGGGCATGATTGTGTTGATCTGGCTGGACTCCCATCTCCACACTCCCATGTATATTTTCCTCAGTAATCTCTCTCTGGCAGACTGTGTTTACTCCTCAGCTGTGACTCCAAAGGTGATGGCTGGGCTTCTCACAGGGAATAAAGTTATCTCCTATGGGGGATGTGTTACACAAATGTTCTTCTTTGTGGCTTTTGCCAGTGTTGACGGTTTCCTACTTGCTGTAATGGCTTTTGACAGGCATGCTGCAGTTTGTAAGCCCTTACATTACACCACTACAATGACTGCTAGTGTGTGTGCTCACATGGTGACTGGCTGCTATGTGTTCAGCTTAGCTGAATCTTCTCTCTATACTGGGTTTATCTTTGATCTCTCCTTCTGCCATTCTAATGTGATTCATCACTTTTTCTGTGATATCCCTCCAATCCTGTCTCTTTCTTGCTCTGATATATACGTGAATGAGATCGTGCTCTTTATCTTAGCCTCATTCAA